CTACGCCCAATATTATGTTCTTCACCCTTACCCTAAGTGGGTAATATATAATAAAAAGTCAGGCCCCGAGTTATACAACTGGTGAATGGCAAAAACCCAGTCCCCAACTCCCAGCCAGTATTCTTTCCACACACCACACCTGCCTCCCCTCAAGAGGCTCCAAAGTTCCCTAAGCACCTCTGCAGCCATGAGACTGGAATTGAGACTGTCTCTCACACCAAAGGCTCCAAGTCCCTCCACCAACCGACACGACCCATTCATTGTCCTTACTTCACCTTGAAGAGCAGGGGCTGAATAAATGGGGCTTGTGGGAAAGAGGATCCTGATTCTTAAGAGTCCCGGCCAAGCAAGGGACACCAAGACAGACCCAGGACCTCCAGGTGCTATGTGCTGGCCCTTCCTTAGCACGTTTCCTCCCTGCCACCACCTTTTACTAAATGGGCACTGTGTGTCAGGGGAATCTGACATCTGTGAGGCAGGACTAGGTCCTGGTAGGTAGCTGGGGTGAAGGAGGAGGAAGGGCACGGCCCTCCTTTCCAGGCTCCTAGGCTTGTGGAGATGACCCTGCTTTTGTTCATGCACGTGCTCTCTCTCTCTCTTTCTCTCTGTCCCTCTCATTGCCAACACTCAGACTTGTCCCAAGAGAGACGTGGTGACACCCAGGCATTCACGTGCACGTGCCATAGGGCTGAGGAGGTGTGTCCCAGGCTGAGATGCCAAGGACTCCTTTTAAATTAAAAGGTGAGAGGTCGGAAGAGGAGGGGCAGAGAGGTCTGCTGTGGGCTCTTAGTTCTTCTTAGAAACAAACAAACAAACAAAAAACTTGTGAGCAAGAGATGTTATGTGTGAATGGTGAGGAGGGTGGACATACATTGTTCCCCACTCACTTCCATCCCCATTCCCGTAACGTTTGGGAGACCCAAATCTCTACTACACTCCTACCAGACATCCTAGGGTCTCCAGGCATGAACTCGGTGCATTTTGGGGGAGGAGTTAAGCTGGTCTCACTATGTGTCCAAGGCTGGCTTTGAACTCCTGATCTTCCTTCCTCAGGCTTTCCAGCCATTGCTAGGAGACCAGGCTTGTGCCATTTACTATATTTACTATATCTCACTATGAACTGGGCACTTCCCCCCCCCCCCCCCCCCCAGAGCTGAGGACCGAACCCAGGGCCCTGCGCTTGCTAGGCAAGTGCTCTACCACTGAGCTAAATCCCCAGCCCGGAACTGGGCACTTTTAAAGCATTGTATATGTGTCTATCTGGTTGAGGCAATGTCTCACATAGCTCAGGCTGGCCTCCAACTCTCTATGTGGATGACACTGGCCTTGATCCTCCTGCCTCAGCCTCCCAAGCATTTAATATATTTTAACAACTATAAATGTCAAAGCTAGATGAGATAGATATCATCATCTCCAGTTTCTAGATAAGGCAAGAAGGAAATTGAAGTCTTCTCAAGGTCACACAACTAGCAGGAGGCATTTAGGATTCAAACCTAGGCAGCTGAACTCCAGAGCAAACAACAAAAGCCTGCTTTTAACCATAACAACCTAAGACCTGCAATATGACTCGATAGAATAAGGATACCCTGTTCTTTCATCTGGCTATGTATCCCCTGTGACAAACCTCAGTTTGTCTTTCTGTTGAAGTCTATGAGTACTCTATGATGGATCGTTACTAATATGTTCTCATCCAAGCAGACCAAGGCTAGAGGGAGCACAGCAAGGCATGTTTGTCGTGCCCTCCCCTCCCCTCCCGCCCCCCAGGCTTTGGATCTCCTGTGCCAGTAGTCCCTGTTCAAATTCCCTCCTTGAAAGAGCTACCCTTTCTGTCCTCACATGTGGGTTCTAGCACCCCCTAAAATTGGCACAGCTGTACCCTCAGAACCAATCCTGAAGCTGGGCAAGGAAGACACAGCTGTTGGGACATCTCTGAGGTAGGTCTCAGCTGCCAGGGGTGTGAAGAAAGGCCATCATGAGTCCTAATGTGGACTCAACTGGGTCCTGCCAACTCCTGCCACTGTGCAAGGTGGGGGGGGGGCATGGTTTTCCCGCCTGGGTCAGTTAGGGGAGGAGCCTCCTCACTGCCTCCTTAGAGAGTTGCAGCCTGAACCTAAAGTGTTCCCACTGAACTAGTGTTCCCTGGCTGGGCCTGCCAGCTTGAGGGGTCAGCACAGGCAGCAAAGCCTACTCCCCTCCCTTTCCCCATTCCCAGCCCCCAAAACTTGCTGGCCAGCCACAGCTGCAGCATCAAGGAAGCGCAGGATGTCCTGAGCCAGCGGAGCACCCCCACCCCCCACCCCAACCTCCTGCTGACCCCAGAGGCAGGCTGGGCGGGCCAGAGGGCCCGAATTTGAGCATTAACAACTGGAAAAGTATGAAGAATGTTGCTGTCAGCTCTGAGAAAAGAGGCCGTGGCAGAATCGGCGAGAGAGAGAGAGAGACAGAGAGAGAGAGAGAGAGAGAGAGAGAGAGAGAGAGAGAGAGAGAGAGAGAGAGAGAGAGAGAGAGCTACAGACTGGCAGGGACACAAGGAGAGAGTCAGACACCCCAAGACAGCAACAGAAATACAGACAGAGTTAGAGAGAAATTCCAAGTCAAAAATACACCTCCCTCACGCAGACGCTCGCCAGCATACGGCCTCCCAAGGAAAGCTTCCAAGTTTGGACAGGAGGACCAGAGGTGAGAAAGGGGGCAGATTCACAGTGGGGGGCAGGCACGCAGCTGGGGACAACCAAGGGTCCCCAGGAAAGGCCCAGCCAAATAACCCCTAGCAGGGGCAGCTAGGTCCCCACTGGCTTATAGGCTAGGGATGAGAGAGAGCCAGAGAGCCACTCCCAACTCTTCCCCAGACACCCCTCCCCCAGCAACCAGGACAATCCCAGCTGCTAGAAGTCACTGGACACTGCTGCAGGCCCATGACTCGGCCGTCTGGAACCCCCTTGCCCCCACTTTGCTCTTGTTTCTCTGTCTCTCTAAAGGGGGGGGGGGGAGCCCATTGCTACACAGTGGCTGAGCCTGGAAGATAGAAAGAAGCCAGAGGGAAGAGTCTGTGATTGTGTGCCTTTAAGCGCATCCCTGCCCCAGCTACAATGTGTCTCTCTGCAGGGGTTATCTGGACACTGCCAGGTGGGAGCTGGGACTGCAGACCGGAGCCCCGGGCATGGCCCCTGCACCTGTGAGACGAGGTGTAAAGGAGTGCACCTGTGCCTGGAGTTCCCACAGTCAATCAATTAACAAGTGTTTACAGAGCACACACTGTGCTAGGCTCTGGGTGGGATCCAGGGCTCTTCTAGAGATTCTCCCATGTCTCAAGGAGCTTGCCATCTAGTAACTGGGTGGTATGGCAACCGACAGTAATGAGACTATATTATCAGGAATGCATGCTTTGCACCATTATGCAGAAAAGTCTTTTCATACAGATGAATTTGATTTTCTCGGTAGTAGAGGTTTTATTGTCTACAGAACCTCAGCTCCACAGAAGAATCCAGGAAAATACTTGTTGCTAAGTTGTGTACACATGTATTGATGTGTAGCTATGTTTTTTGTTTGACTGAGTGACTGTCAAACTGGCAAGCAATGACGACTACATGATTGGGCACATGTGAGAGCGTGTGTGCTTGTGAGTGACAGGGTCTTTTGTAATTGTGTGGTTGTGGGCAATTGCTGTGTGTGCACACGCGCACACATGCATGCATGCACGCATGCAATAGTGACAGCGACTCCTCCTTGCCCCTGTGTGTGACAGCATCTCCCTGTGACCCTGTGCGTGGGTATGTGCATAGGCCTTCTCTCTGCTCACGGTCTCCCGTGGGTGTGTCCAACCCTTCTGAGCTCCACCATGCAGCGGCAGCCTGCCTCTTCCCTTGTCCCCATGTGGGTGTGTCCAGAAGCTCCTGTCCTTGAATCTGCCTGGGTGTCCCTGGGTGTGCATGTGGCTGTCTGTGTGGGCATATCTGTGTCTGCATGTCACCTTTGCCTCCCCCTTCATCTTGGACAATGGCCCCCTTCATCCCCTCCCCCTCCTGGGTCCAGAGCCAGCATTCAGGGGCAGACTCCCATCTCCCTGGCTTTCCTTCTGTGTGCCCCCCCTTCGGTCCCTGAAATGGGTGGCTCTCTCCATTGCTTTTGACATCTTCCCAGGCCTTCCTTTCACACTGGACAAGGGAGGGCCCTAGACAGAAAAGGGGCACCAGAGACACGTTGCAAAGGGAGGGAAACATGGGAAGCATGCACGCGCGCGCACACACACACACACACACACACACACACACACCCCGACACGCACACGCGCACACATACAAAACATGAGTCCATTCCTTCCTCTCTTCCCCACCACCGGCCAGCAATTCTAATCATCCAGGGACCATCGAGTACACCCCCACTACTACACGCTCACATTCCCCCCACCGCACCCCACCCGCCGCGTTTTTGCAATTAGGAGTGTTGCAACCAGAAAGCCATGCTCAACTGGGAAGGCAGGGAGGGGAGGGGGACTCTCTCTCCCCCAGCCCATGCAAGCCCCCCCACCCTGCCGCACCCACATTGCCCTCCGAAGCTGGAGGCAGCTTTGCAAAGGCCATTCGGCCTCCTTGCCTGGGGGGTTGGGGGGGGGACACGACAGGCTTCTGGCACACCGTAAACAAACCGCGGCGCGGCGGGCGGGGGAGCCTCGGCAGGCAGCGGGGCCCAGCCCGGGAATGCGCAGCAGACCGGCCGGACAGAGGCCGGGCGGGCCCTCGAAGGGGAGGCCCAGACGCCATCTCCGCGGGCGAACCCCGGGGCCCACCGACCACTGAACAGCACCTCCCTTCCCCAGGGCGTAAGCGGCTGGCTCTCGGGCTGTGACAGGGTCACCCGGGCGCCCGGAAAGGCAGAGGTCGGCGGCGGGAACCCCCTGGGCGCCCCCAGCCCGCCTACGAGCTGGCCAGAGACCCGCGGCTTTGCATAATCAATCGCGATGCATTTGCATATTAATGCCCCCCTCGCTCCCTCCTCCTTACCTTGGCTTGGCGCGCGGAACCGAGTTGGGCAACGACGCGGGGGTCTCAGCGCCCCGTGCCGGGGGCGTCCATGGGGGGCCGGTGGGGCCCGGGCCGCCCGCCTCCAGCGCCGGGGTGTGAGTGCGAGTGAGCGCGGGGGGGCGGGGGGCGAGTGTGGCGGCCCCCGCGGCTCCTCCGGCAGAGGCGGCGGCCGCTCTGGCTCCTCCCTCCCCCGCCCCGCTCCGGCTGGGGCTCCGGCTCCGCGCGCCCGGCCGGCTCGCGGCTGCTCCCTGCAGGCCGCCTCGCAGCCGCCGGCCCCCGCCCCTCGTCCCCCCGCCCGCGCCCCGGGACCCCGGCCGGCTGCCCCTCGATCGCCTTGGCCCCGACCAGGCTCAGACTCGCCCACCTCACCCCCTGCGGCTCCGTCGAGGAGCGGTGCTCGGTGACACATTTTGAGAAAGATGTCATTTTTTTTTTTTTTTTTTTTTAAACAAAATAGCTTTCATTCGCTGGGAGAACTGGGGGTTTTCTGGTTTGCACCCTGGGGTAGAGGGGAAGTTTCAGGGAGCTCTCTGCACCTTATAAATCCGGGGAAAAGTCCAGATACCAAACGCTAGGGGTTGTTTGTTTCAGAGTTCGCGTCCCTTCTCTCCAAGCAACTCTCTGTGTGACCTTGAACAAATTACAGCTGCCAGGGTTAGAGCTTAAAATCGAAGTGGTGGACAGGTTACTTCTGAAATCCTCCTAACTTCAACAGTCCTATTTTCTAACCCTTTTGGAGGCTCATTCTACGTTGTGCCTCCTCTCTCATTTCTAACATTAATGCTGGATCCCTTGCCTCCTCTTGAAAACGTTTCTATTCTCCACAAAGGCTCTTTCTATTCACTGCCCACCAGCCATTCCCCAACAATATACAGCCCGTGCTAAGCTTGAGGAGCCGGGCGGGTAGGACTCGCTACTGCCCCTCATCCCCTGGTTTCACTGAGGTGGGATTTCCTCTCATGTTTGCACCATCAAAAAAACAACAAACAAACAAACAAACAAACAAAAAACCCAAATGGTTCCAGGGCTAACCTAAGGAGCAGGGTGGCTGCAAAGAGATGGACTCGCTTTCTCAAAGGAGAGGTCTCCATGCCAGTTCCGGACCCCTGCGCGCGCACGCGCACGAACGCGCGCCAGCCACACACACACACACACACACACACACACACACACACACACACACACACGCACGCACACACACCTCTGCATTCATGGACATAAAACCCTGTCAGTGACGCCAGAGCCCCTTTCATCTCGGGATCTACTACCCGCCAGGCAGAGGTCTAATTACCCTAGCACCCCCCTCTGGCCCCGCCGGTTCCCCCGCTGTCATTAGCCCAGTTTTACCAGCGGGGGCCATAGCCTTCCCACGGCTCCCAGGGCGGAGCCCTGCCTCCACAGCCTGCTCTTTGGGGAGGAGCCAGTGAGTGTTGTCAGGGGAGCTGCACTTCTAACCGTTCAGTTTATGCTGGGTAGAATCATTCGCTGAGTGGGATGCTGACCAACAGTCTATCCAAGTTGGGCTGCCCTTGCTCATCTTAGTCTCAGCCACCTACACCCTGAGCCACGGAGCCCCTTCTCTTCCAAGGGATTTTAAGGGTTCGCAATGCACGAGGGGAAGGGAGAATGCTTCTCTTGGGGCTCCTGATACAAAAGAAAGCTGGGATGAGGGAAGAGTAAAGTTGAAGGCAACAGTTACTGGTGATGGGACGCACCACCACCCCCCGCCCCCCACACACACAGGTTGAAGGAAGCCTACACTGTACAGTGGGCAGCTGCAGTGGGGAACTGAGGCTGCAGCGTGCGGAGTCAGCATGCAGTAAATGAACCTGTTCAGTCCCAGCTCCCCGTGGACATGCAACAGCTGCAGCTGAGAGCAGAAGGCTGCAGTGTGCAGTCAGTGTACTGAGGGTGGCTGTCTGCCAACGGAGGCCACCTCAACAATAATCAGATTTGACCGAAACCCTGGGGAGCAAGGCAGTGTACAGGCTCAGAGTCCATGTGCAAGCCCATATGGAAATAGTCTCTGGAGACTGGGGTACCAGAGGAGCTGAGAGATAATCCCAGGGTATGAGAAATACAATTATATTCTGCCTGAGTGGTTCAGCACTGGTCTGGACCAAGATGAGGACTGAGAGAATTCAGATGGGAAGGTGGTATTCTTGTCCTCTCCGTGTTCTGGAGGGGTTTTTTGTTTGTTTATTTTATTTCACTTGCTGGTCTATTTGCTTGCTGGTTTTAAAGTCAGGGTCTTGCTACTAACTTACTATGTAGCCCTAACTGCCAGAATGATTGGAACCCATGAGCCTCCTGCCTCCGTCTCCCAAGTGCTGAGTCCTGGGATTAAAGTCATGCTCCACCATGCTTAGGGATTCAGTCATCCTCCACTACATCTGTCTTGATAAAGGCTCTAAAGATGGAGGATACCTCCTTAAATCCTCAATATCCCACCCCAAGTGAAATCCTACGTAACATCTAACAAATGAAACACCTACAAGCACACCTTCAACCAGCCCTGCCAGGGATAGAGTGGGGCACGCTGAACTTAACAACAAAGGTTCACCATCCCCCCTATCCCCTGAGCTCCCAATATGGGCTGATAACAGACCCAGCAAGGGCAATGTGAAGGGCATGCTGCCTCCAGAGCTGGCATCTCACCAGATGCCAGGACCCAGTCCAGGTCTGGGCTTGTAGCCCCTGACCTGGTGTTGCCTCATCCCTCTTACCACCTGCCCATCCTGCCCACCTGTTTCCTGGAGCTGCTAGCTCTTCTCAAATTCAGTGTATCCCCAGCTCCCGTTCTTTTCCACGAACCACACCCCATCAGACCGTTCCCTCCCATCCCCTCATCTCTGCTTCAAGGCACTCCTTCACCTATGGGGAAAGCCAGAAGGTGGGGCATGAGTGAGATAGTTAAAGACCCTCCAAGGGGCTCTCTCTGCCAGCCCCTTCCCCTCCAGCTTGGATTTTGGTTGCCAAGGAGGCAGGAGGAACAGCCTGTTCTCTGGGCTCCAGTGGGAGCAGACATGCCCAAGCCCCGCCCTCGCTCCTTTCCTCCTCTTCCTCCCTTCCTCCAAGGCTGTTGCTAGGAAGCACCCCAAGATTTCTTGAGGGTTCCACCCCCTCTGAACCAGGAGATATCTTTCTGCAGAGCTTCTTCCAAAAGCTTGGCAGCCGGAACCCACTCAGCATCCTTCACCTCTGCTAGGAAGCTTGTAGATCCCTAGCAATTTGAGGACCGAGGGAGCAGGCCTTTCTGCCAGCTAGCCCTGCAGCTAGCTAGTTCAGACCTCAGCAATTGTCCTCCATATTTCATCTTTATTTGTTGTTTGGGGGTCAGACTCAGGCTGCAAAACATACGCACAGACTTTACCACCAAGCTGCATGCCCCTTGTTGCATTTCATCTGAGGCTTACAGACTGATGGAGCTTACTGAGTGATGTCAGGAAGTGGGAAGGTCTCCATCAGATCTCGGGCCTGCAGACAAAGCCTCCTTTATTGGGGGTGCAATGAAAAGAAAGCTGAGGAAGTTCTAGTACCACCAGCTAAGAGAACCTAAACCCAAAAGCTTCTCCCCCTTAATGCTCTCCAACCTAAGAAGTGTCGGAAGTGACTGGGGAGATGACTCACGGTTAAAAGCACTGATTGCCTGTGCAGAGGACCTGGGTTTGGTTCCCAGCACCCACGCGGTGGCTTAGAACCGTCCGTAATTTCGGGGGATCTATCACCATCTTCTGAACCTCTGAGGGCACCAGACACACATGTGGTGCACATACATACAGACACGCAGGCAAAATGCTCATAACACATAAAATAAAATTGAATAATCAAACAAGGCAAGAAATAGAAATGGGTCAGTGACATGGATTACAGGGTCTTGCTGCCAAACCTGTGAGCCTGAGTTCAGTCCCTGAAACTCATTTGGTGGAAGGAGAGCATTGATTCCTGTGTTGTCCTCTGGCCTCCCTGTGTCTTTGTGTGAGTGTGGATACATATATTTCTTTTTAAAGAGAAAGGAGCCATGCATTTAATTCTAGCACACAAGAGGCAGAGGCAGGTAGATCTCTGGATTCAAGGCCAACTGGGTTTCCACAGCAAATTTCAGGTCAGCCAGGACTACATAGTGAGATCCTGTTTCAAATAATAAAAGACTAATGGCTCCATATGCAGAGGCTTAAAAAAAATGAAGGAAAAAAAGGATGAGAAAGGGACAATATGTAGATCGGGGATTAGTGGCTGGAAGAGATGAGAAAATAGGAAATTAGGGTTCACCCTGCTAAAAGTTAAGAGGTCACTAATTTTCCCTCATCAATCACTTTTGTTCCATCAGATGGGTCATTGAAGAAGACCAGGAGAAGGACCAGGCCTGGTGAGCCTTGGTGTTGGCACTCAGGGGAGATATGAAAAAATAAACCAAGCCAGGAGGCGGTGGTGGTGCACACCTTAATCCCAGCACACTGGAGGCAGAGGTGGGCAGATCTCTGAGTTCGAGGCCAGCTTGGTCTACAGAGCCAGTTCCAGGACAGCCAAGACTACATAGAGGAAACCTGTCTCTAAAAGCCAAAAATAAAACTAAAATAATAAAGAAATAAACCAATGCTTTCTCTGGGTTGTCTTTTGAGGTTTCTCCTACTTTTATCCATTCATTTGGCTTGCTTTCTTTCCTTTTTATTTTATTTTATTTTATTTTATTTGTGAGACAGGGTCTTGCTTGTAATCCCTCCTGATTATCCTGAAACTCACTATATAGACCAGACTGACCTGAAACTCAGAGATCTGCTTGCCTCTGCCTCCTGAGTGTTGACTTCATTAAAAAAAATTATTATATTTATATGGGTGTTTTTACTTGTAATCATGTCTGTGCACCACAGTCATGCCCAGTGCCCGAAGAGGCCAGAAGAGAGCCTCACATCCCTTGGGGCAGGAGTTGGCTTTGATTGGTAGCCGTGATGTGGGTGCTGGGAATGAAACGAAGATCCTCTGTGTTGTAGATGACTATCCTCTGAGCCAAACAACTGCCATCTTGGGGTGTTCAGGTGTCCCCCACTGCCAAAAGATCATGTCAACCGGGCTTGTAGTTTTGCCACCCCTCAGGAGAAGTGTGGAGGGTCACAGGACCCTTCCCTGAGCATCCAACTCTTCTCTACCATCTGTTGCATGAAATGCTGCCTTGAT